GGGGCGGCGGCAGGGAGCCGTCAGCCGGGAGGAGGACGGAGGTCCCTCGGGGTGGGGAGGGAGGGTGGCACCCGGGGAAAGGGGCCAGATCTGGGCCTGATCCCGCTCAGAAGGGTCTGTCACCGGGTGGGCCCTCCCTGTGGAGGGGCACCGCTGCGTGGGTGCCGGTGACAGCAGTGCTCCGGCCACGGGAGCCTCATCTTGTTTGTTTTCAACGGCAGGGAAAATCGCTGAGCCTCATCTGCGGGGCCCTCTCCTGGCTCCGAGACTTTGAGGAGAAAAAGCAGCAGGAGGAGGCGCAACTTCTGGCACTTGAGGACAGCGGACAGGAGGGGAAGAAGGAACTGACTTCAGATGAGCCAGGACGCCCAGACAGCAAAGACGGCGCTGGGGAACCGGACTGGGTTACGGCATTTGTGCAGAAGAAAGAGGAGCGGGACATGGTGGACAGGCTAAAGGTTGAGAAATGCTCGTATGTAGAGGACGGGTAAAACAACGAGGTGTGAGGATCAGAAAGGCTGGTAGCCTGGGTGATGATTGGAAAAACAAGTGAGGCAAACTTTGATGGTGGTCTTTGTCTTTTCACAGGACTTTGTTTCAGGTACGAGGGATGAGGCGTTGCCGTGCAGGTTGTGTAAGATAGGAAACTATATTACTCTGAACATAGTAACATATAATGGGCGTGCACTCCAGGAGAAAGGGACTGTGTACTGACAATTCTGTTTCTGAGTTAATTTTTTTTCTATACCCAGGGAATAGGAAAGTAATTATACCCAGGGTTTAGGACTAAATACACTTCATCCTTCCTTCACTCTCCCTTTATTTTAGGAAGAGCAGATGAGGAGGAAAAAGCGAGACGATCGTCTTGAGAAAATTCGCCAGAATGTGCAGTTAAAATATGCAGCAAAGAGAAAGGTGAGTTATCCCGCAGAGATTAGAACTTTCTGTTTTGGTTACCCTGAGCGTTGTTCATACTTGCTTATATCTGCGACTTCACTCTGAATTTTCCAACCCGTCTGTTTGGGGAGCTCTTTGTATTAGGTTGCTGAAATTGGCCATCCAAAATTTTTGGTTAGGTTTTCTTTTTAAAGTACAGATGTGAAAAACAATTTGTGCATAGAGAATTTCCTGTGACGATGCTTGTGTATGGATAGAAAGGCCGTGTATTCTGATGGCCTTCTGGCCTTCTGCTTTTGTTTTAAAATCTTTAATACTTGGGTTTTTTTTTTTTTTTTGAAAGCTCTCTGTTTTATGAGCATGTGTGAACACTCTGTACTTCTGGAATAAAACCTGTAGAACTGTGATTAAATTTAAGATCATGGGAACAGAAGACCCCTCCAAAAAAGCCAGGTCAGGCTTTGGTTGTACTTTGCCCACCACTAGGGAACGATTGTATGTGTTTACTTTCATAGCAAAGTGATTGTGTTGTTCAGAAATGGCTCTTTTCTACATATAAAATGTTCACAGATATATTTTCCTGCCATTTAGATGGGTGAACTGGCTTCAGTACTCTTGACTCTAAGAGCTTTTTCATGGTAGGAGTCAAACTTCCCAGAAACACCCACTTCAGGTCCCCAAACAGGCAGACTTATTAGGCTGCCAGGCTATTAGTTTTTAGTGTGCTCCATCTCAAGTGTTGTGTTATGTTTTGGTCAACTCTCGTCATAAGGATATGGCAGAAATAGCAAAGGTTCAGAGGTGAATGGCAAATAAAAAACAAGTGGAACAAAGAACTTTTGTCTCTTAAAAGAGGATGAAGAGCATGTGAAATGAGAAGCATGATAAAAAGCAAGAAAGCAAATGAGAGAAATATTATAGAGATTTGGAAAAGCAACTGATTCTTCTGTAGCGCTCACGAACTGCATTTTTTCATAATGCTGTGGTAAAAGAATGCTCATTGAAGTTGGAAGATACTGTTTTCAGATTGAAAAAACAAACTCGTCTTTATCAGAACACAAAGTTAGTCGGAAAACTTCAACAGTTTAATGGAATTTCTGTAGAGGGGTAGACCTGTGTTAGAATAAGAACCACATAACGGGAGAAAAAACAGCAAGAGAAGTCTTGTGCTCTGTGTTCTAAAACAGGTGCGAGTTTATCCTAGCTTTGAGTTAAGTGCGGACAGAGTATTTGATTATGCCCTCATATATATGTATGTTTGTTTGTTTGGGTTTATTTACACACTATTTTTTCTCAGTCAGACATCTTTTATGGGCCACTTAAGCAACTAATACTGGATTACATGGATATTGTCATTTCAGGATCTATTAGTTCAGTGGGCCTTTTGCATAGAAGGTTCTTTATGTTTCCCCCTTCATATACGTCTGTGTGGGCAAGTCTTTGGTTGTTGGTAACAGCTGCGTTCTGTGGGCCTGAACAGCTTCAGACACCCATGGTGCATTTACTTGTCCTGCTGGGGCTTTACCCAGCAAGCCATTCCCTGTGTTATGGGTGAGGGACTGTGCTGTCTTCTGACCTGTCCGTGGCATAAAGTGATGTGTGTGCTACCTCTCTTTCTGTGTGAGAAATAATGTGATCATGTGTTCCTTTCAGAGATCTGAGGAGGAGGAGACAAAGCGCCTTCTTCAGCTCAGCAAGGAGGTTCTTTCAGAGGGAGCTGGAGTGGATGTTCTAGACCAGCTGGATCACAATGAGGAAGAGCTGATTCTTGCTGAATATGAGAGTGACGAAGAAAAGAAAGTGGTATCTGGGTAAGGACAGGGACCGAGGGGGTTCCATGCCAAGGAAACGTTTTCTGTATCATTTTTGGCTTGCCTTGATTAAAGAGATTTCACCTGTGATTGTGCAGATCTGGAGTTTCTCCCCCATTCAAGCTGTGTAAGGTAGTGGTTGCTCTGGGGGTTTGTTTGCTTAATTGGTTGGTTTGGTGGCTTTTTTGGATTTGATTTTGTTTTGTTTTTTAAGCTTTTGTTAGACTGATCAGAGTGACCTGAAGTGTTTTCTGAGAAAGTGCATCTTTCTTAAAATGCCTGGCAATGTCCTGCCTTTATCCATGCCCGGTTTCCCAAAGAATGCCTCTGGATGCTGAGTGAATGACTTGAGATCAAGTTCCTTGCATTAGAAAAGCAAAATGGAACTCAGGGCATGAGAGGAAGCTATCAGTCCTGCAGATTAGCACTGGCATCTTTTGATACTCTAAAGGGAGAGATGTTCACATTTCCAAAGACTGAGCTTCAGCATGAAAACCCCATGCACACTTTTCTCTCTCATACATTTGCTTTATGCAGAAAGCCAGAAGCCATACTTCAGCATGAAAAGTCAAATACATTTAAAATACAAATTTACTAATTAATATCTAGACAGATCCTCCTGCCTGAAAAATTGCAAAACACTTAACTACTTCGTTTATATGTAGTTTATCAAACATTAAACTGCTGTTGCCTTTGAGGAACTCTATGGCAGCTAAATATCTTCCTGAAGCTTTTCTTTATGCAATAGCTTGAGGGTGGTAAATTGTCTCTAAAGGGAAAGTTTTGCAAAAATAAATAAATAAGCTCACTAAAGAACAGTACAGCACTAACTAGCTTATGCCTGGGGCTTAGAAGCCCCAGATTTAAAAGAAAAAAAAATTCTTGAAGTTGCTAAAGACACAGCCCTACAGACATTTTTCTTTTAAAGAGCAAGGCTTGACTTGATGGTGCACACTTACACTATTTTTAAAAAGTCAATTTTTCTTTTACCTCCTGAGTTAAGATCTGAGGCTCTTCTTGAGATGACATAACCATCTCTCTTGAGACCTCTCTCTTGTAGTAGACCATCATTTGATTCTGTCAGTGATCTGCTGAAAGGAAACTGTTTGAGCTTTCTCTTTTCTTAGGCTGGAAGATGACGACGATGATTTGG